CAAACCAATGATTTCCATATTAAAATGAAGCATTTTACAAAAATGCCATTTGAATTCGCAAAGAAAGACCTCGCCCGCGTGTCCCTTTTCAAAATGCGGCCCTCCAATGCAACACTTTGCTCCGCCCTGTGTGACAAATCATGCGCACTCAAAATAAAATTATATTTCCCTAGAATTGAAGACGACTCCCCAATTTCAATTTTCCACGGTTTTGCATTTCGAAGTCCGCCGACGTGCCTGCGACACAAGAAAGCGCCGCCTTGCTGGAGCACTTTGGTTTACGCGCTCGTATTTTTTGATAAGCGACACCGAAACTACATGTCGCCCGCGCGCATCATTGCCTCGAAATAACAGCCAGGGCGTTTTCACCCTAATTGCGTCAGCCAAATCCCTTGGGATTCCATCTTAAAAGCCCCTCGGACTTGAAAGGTGGCAGTAAACTTGAGCGCTTCTATCTCCCGGAGAACGGCGGCTGTGATTGTCGCCGGCTTTGAGGAGGAATGCGAGGCAATCCAAAAAAGCTGAGGGTCGTGACGAGAATGGGGGAGGAAAACAACTCCCCGCAGCTATTTGGATCATTTTCCAAATTGAAAACTCGCCGCCGCCGCAATAAAATGTAACCGGCGCCGATTTCGAGCGAAAGAGTGAGAAGCGTTCGCCATGCGAAGAGTCAAATAGGAGCTTGAGCAAAGGGCGACTTGCAGTGTTTGAAAGACGGCGAGACAAACTCATTGAGTGCACGATACCGTCAAACACAGACGAGATAACCAATAGGGAAAAGCAAAAACCTTCAACATTAGGCAGTTCAAGTGCCACGGGAACAGAAATAAAGGTTTGCGGTTTACCAATAAATTGCGATGACCTTTCAAATGGCTCGTGTTATCAGTGTTTAATCTCCAAGGACTTCCGCCATGTTGTCCATGCGAAGAGTCAAATAGGAGCTTTCGCAAAGGGAGACTTGCAGTGTTTGAAGGATAGCGAGACAAACTCATTGAGTGCACGATACCGTCAAACACAGACGAGATAACCAATAGGGAAAAGCAAAAACCTTCAACATTAGGCAGTTCAAGTGCCACGGGAACAGAAATAAAGGTTTACGGTTCACCGATAAATTGCGATGACGTTTCAAATGGCTCGTGTGATCAGTGTTTAATCTCCAAGGACTTCCGCCATGTTGAGTCGCTATTGCGCAACTAGCGCGCCGCATTGAAAGGCAATGAAAGGATCCGCGGTGGTTGAGCTTGATTGATTGATTGGCAGTGAGCACTCCCACTGCGGTGCAGCCCCCCTTCTCACAGATGCGCTGGCTAGCTCTCATCTGTAAAATTACCAACGCTGGGTCTAACCCGCCCCTGTGCAGATTCAGACTGTGATCCACTGGTCACGAAAAAAAATATATACGTATATTAGGAAATATGCATTCACACTGTTATAAATGATAGCATCGATCGCTAACAGTAGCTACAGGTGGCATATAAACAGTGTCGGGAAACTAAAGTGAAAGAAGAGTTCCAAGGTGTTCAAATTGTGCTTTTCAAGCTCACTCGTCTATTCGCGGACGTGTCGCGGCCTGCTCAGTGAGCGAGTGACTTACGCCAGCTATCAACAAATACTAGTTGTGCCCCGTCACTTGCTAGTGGGCACAGAGGAGCCTTCCTCCTGTTTGTATTCTTGCCACCAACAAGATGCGAGGTCAATGTCAAGAGGTTTGCCGTCATGCCATTTGAGATATCAAAAAGTCAAACTCATTCTGCAGCAGGAGCCTCCAAAATACACATTTTGTCGATGATTGTTCTGTCGGACAAATACACCACAATCTCTGTCACGTCCACTAGCAACTCAGGCGAAGGTCGACGCCCGCTCAACACACAGAGCTTGTCTCTCAATCAAGACGTCTCACTTCTTTGACAACAGTTGCTTTTCGACAAGGCTTTCACAGCATCTCGTGACTCAAAAACTGCAAACAGATGGAGGGCTGGTGACTAGGCGGGGGATCGGCGAAACGGAAGGTGAATTTATGAATAGCGAGCCGCAATTATGCGGCGGATGATCGTATTCAACATCAAAAGAAAAATTGTTTGACTCCCTTGAGTGCATTTGTCATCGATAATTCATTTTTTGAGTAATATTGCAAGAATACCATTGGCCATACCCGGAGTGGGTAATATGGACACCCGGGCGGGTTCCTGGTGGGCCGGGCTGTACATGCCCACACATTAAATTCCTCTGTTCTGTCTTGAAATCAGCAGATAAAATGTGCTTGTGACATTTAATCTACCTTTCCTTGACAAATAGATTCCAAACACATGAACTGATACCGGTAGGCCATTGCATAACGTATTGCAAGGAATGCACCGCCTTGGTGACGAAGGGTGTTGTCGCCAAGCCACATTCATTTAACACAGGCCTTGAGCCGACACCGGCGGAACATAAAATGACACTTTCAAGAGGCATAACACTGTCACAAGTGTTACTTGTAAGTGCAACAAAGCATGCTGCGAAAGCGTCCTTCCGTTTTCTTTACCGGGACCTTGTTGCGGTGGGACGATCGCAACGTTAGCTTCAGTCCGCAAACAAGTGCGGCGACCGGAAGCGGTGCGAATAGGATTCAAATATGAGCGCTAACAGGTTAGCTGTCTAAATGCGGCCGGCTTAGCAGCGCTTGCTAAATCCGCCAAATCTCTGTTTGTCCATTTGGACCCTTGATGTTCTCATATTTGTTCACCGGTTGTGATCTTGTCAACACATTGTCATGTTCATTTTTGAGCAAATGCAAAAAGAATATCCACGTTGGAGGGAATCGTAGGCCATTTCAAAAGGAAAAACGGTCACAATGTAAATGTGAATTTAAGTGAGTCGGGCTGAGCCAACGACTCCGTGGTCATTTCGCTCCTGATAATGAGGGCGATATTCCATTTCGGCAGCCTTTCATGTCTACAAATGTGGATCTCCGTTCCGAATGAACCCGTGGCATTATTTGCTTTACTGCGCTGATATATATACACCGTAGAGATCTTCCAGTGTGGTTCTGACCGCGCAGGTCACTGCCCTCTATTTCAGCAGAGGCCGCGCACAACTGCAGGTTCGCCCTTGGCTGTGAATCATTTGTGCGCCAAAAAGTTGCATTCATCATCGCTAATAATCCACTCCGGCCTTCAAAGTTCCATCCGCTAGAAATGAAATCAACTCTCGTTTCTTTTGACAATTATCGCGGCAAATAAACACCAAGTAGGAAGAGGCAAAAGTGCACATATAAGAAAAAAAAAATTGCCTTGGTGAAGCAAGATTTCGGAGCTGGAAATATCAATCCACGGGCGAGTGCCGACTCATTAATTAAGGCTGAACTTCGGGGCGACGTGGAGAACGAGTCAAAGTGGCGAGGAAATCATTAAATTGATGGTGGCGGCCGCTGTGCCTCTTTGAAGACGCCCCGAGATCCCGCTGCGCGCTAACAACGCCGACGGGGGCCGCATCTCGGCCTCCTCGCTGAAATTAGAGGGTCCCTTTAATCCGACAATGGGGATTACGTCCCCGCAAGAGACGGCGAGGGGCGACGCGCTCCCACGGAGGAGAGTCGGCAACACCTCTGCACGTCAAGCAAAAATCACAAGTCTCACACGTTGGGGAAACTTCAGAGGGGAGTGCCACACCGAAAGGCGAAGAAACTCGTTCGGAGGATTCGAAAGAAGGCTGCCAAAGAAAGCATGGTAGAAATTAAACAAAAACAAAAACGATACCTACCAGCCATTTCATTGCAAATTAGTTTCTGACTTCAAGTTACATGCGTTTCCCAGGAATGGCAGCAGTTCCTGCGTTAATTTGACCCGCTCGGTGTCAAAGTCAAGGCCCGGGGGCCAGATCCGGACCCCCACATCACTTTATGTGGCCCGCAAAAGCAAAACATGCGTGTCGACCTCCATGATCCTTGCTAAAGTCCGTACCCAAATGTCAAATTGTGACGTGTGATCATGAATGTTGGGATTTCGCAATCCTTTTGTTCGCCTGCTTACACTCACTTGAACATGAATCGACCAAACAATCAAGAAGTAGCCGTTTTTAAGCAGCGACGAGTTCAACGAAGGCTAAAGCGACATCCGAAACTTGGTCAGTTTTCCTCTTCACCAAAAAAGACCAAGATCTGGAAAAAAAACCAAATGCAACAAACAAATAGTTGACTTTTGCGATGACAAAACTCGTCATCCATCAATTGGTTGTGTACAAGTAATAATAGGATGAGATGATGACGTCAACAAGTATTGGGTTTCACTGCGGTAACGCCCCTCGGAGGGAAGACGCAACTCCAAAGTGACCCGTGACACAAATGAGTTTGCCACCCCTGCGCTTCATGTTTAGTCCGATCAGAAACAAAACAAACATCTTCCATCTAACTCACGAACAACTTCTTTGCAAACCAGTTGCCAAAGCACAGCAAGCGGCCGACTTAACCCTCCCGATGCGTGAATATCTCAAACGTGGCAATAATTTTCCTGGGTCAAATCGACCCCCGGTACTCCTCCAAACGTGCAAGAAACAAAAGAAAACCAGTCGCAATATTTCAGAACCATTTGACTGCAAATATGTGCCAAACGACGACAAACCAGGGTGATGTTTTCATGCCTCTGGAATGGCGTGAAGGCTTCTCGGTCAATCTGACCCATGAATCCCATCCACACTGTTTCTATCCCATCGGGAATCACCACAGCAAAATAGTCGCCCAAGTACAGCAGAAGGCTGAAAGAACCCTCCTGTTATGTTGGCTTCTCGTTCATTTTCCTTCGGACCGTTTGACCCGGGATGTGTTCAATGATCCAAACGTAACAAATTCCAAAGGTGAAACCAATTTGACCCGCAACTCAACAGGAGGTTTCTCTCCGCCCAAAAGTCCGCGGAGGCAAAGTGTCGGCCTCGACGTCCTCGGCATCCCAGCCGAGGCCACCTGGCATCACATCGGCGCCAACGCGCCCGCCGAACGCCAAACACGAGGACGCGCGCTCTCTTACCTCCCTTGTTCCATCTCCCTTTGGTCCGAGCCGGGTAGGTGGCTTCGGGACATCCGGAGAGCACCAGGAGAAACAAAACAAGTTCAAAGGCGGGGAGGAATCCAGACGCCGACCTGGGAAACATGTCCAAGGAGTTGCTGGTGGCCCGAGACACTCTCACATGGCTCCTGGGGCGGGAAGCCACGCGCGGGCTCTCATCCGTCACGCTGGCGTCAGCGGTTAAGTCTCCAGCTCGCCCGCCATTCTGCCGGTGCTGCCGCTCAAGCCGCTCGCGTGCGATGCCACCAGCTGGGGGGGCGGGGGGGGGGGCTTCCTCACTGGTGCTGCTGCTTCATCCCCCGCCTTGGCCTTGAGGAGCGCTGGGGGGGAACCGATGGGAACGCGCAGCCTGCCGCGCCGCGATGCCACGCTCAGCGCGGTGCATCGGAACTCACGCTCGCTCACACCCACAGAGCCAGACAGACGGACAGCGCTCCCTCTCTCTCTCGCTCGCTCGCTCGCTCTCTGTCTCTCTCCAACGCTCTGCGTCGCGTAACGCCGCCGCTGTGGGTGCCGTCGCAGCCGCTGAAGCTGCTGTGACTGCTTCTGCTTCTGCTGCTGCTGGAATAGCCTCCCTCCTCGATCACTCTGGGGCGGGGTGGCGAAAGTCATTCCACAGCACTCAGGCTTCTGTTGCGAGAGATGGGAGCGTGATCCACCTTCTGCATTCTACAAAGGACTGATGGGAAACCTGGGAAACATAAAAAATAAAAAAATAAAAAAAAAAGATCTCAGAGGACGAAAGTCGCAGCGAAAAAAAGCTCAAAAAAGCTCGCGCTCATATTTACGGTGACGACCTTGACGGGCATTTTTGACTGGACGGACTGTGTAAGCTCGATCGAAGTAGCAAGAGAAACGAGAGAAGGCAAAGTAGCCCGAGAGGGAATCGGGATCACTTTGTCAAGTGTCTCCAAACAAGACAAACATTCTGAAACGTTTCTGCTCCAGCCCAAGACAAGCCCTTATTCTGACCATCGGTGATCATCATGGACGACGGCGAAGGATTCAACCCAAACGAACATTTTTCCACAAACTATTCGACCAAACGCTTGCGTGCATTATCAACTTAACGCGAACCCAAACACTTCCTTATGCCCTACCCCTCATTTAACCACCCGTTGTTCCTTCATCTTCAACCAACCCCCTTCGACCCACCAATCCCTGATCCTCTAACCTAACCTTGCCTGTTCTTTCTTCACCCCCAACCAAACCTGGAGAATCCCATATCCGAACCATCCCTCCATCTCCTCCCTCGTATCCCCTGAGACTTAACACCGAGCCGTGGTAATTCCCTTTCTGCCCCAACATGTCATCCAACTCCCGCAATCTACAAAGGACTGTTGGAAAACCCAGCGAACCGATAGAGGTGTCCGGGGACCAAAGGTCAGCCCGGCATATAGCTCACGCCCGTATTTGTGTTGATCTTGACCGTCAGGAGTGTCAACTGTATCACAGCCGGCAGTGTAAGGATTCATTTTGACCGGAGGGGAGATGGCGCATCAGCAAGAGAAGATGGGAAAGGGGCAAACTGGATCAATGGGGGAGGATCGTGCGACCGGTGGCATCGGCTTGGCCAAGCCAAAGTGGACTCAATAATGATTCGCATCCGCTAGGCCACTTAGCATCGCCTCGATTATACTCGTGTGGAGTCGACAACGGTCAGGGACATGCAATCAACAGACGCTTCTCTTTTTCTTAATCATCGGTCACGAGGCTGGATGCAAATCGGAGCACGTTTGGGCACATGCGCCATCGCTCTTCTGGTGGGACGCAATGGTGCCAAAAAACTCACGGAGTCGGTGGCCAGAGTCCGGCGCAACAAATCATTGGGGCCAGTCTAAGAAACAGTTTCAAGCACAGAGCTCGGGCCACTTTTGTCGGTGGGAAAAGAAAGAACCGGTGCTAACCCGGGCAGGGGCTCAGAACGAGCACAAGCGCAGTGGAAAAAGGCCATGCGAGTGTTTCAGTTCTCTTGTAAACTTCACAGACTGCGTCAGCCCATCGATCGCATAGGAAGTTGCTGGATGAGCGAGTTCTCTCTGGGCTCCACCTTTGCCCCGTCTTGTTTTTTTTTTTTCCCCTCCCGGACCGAGATAGCGGCCACACTTGAAAGCCTCATAACCTCGGAGCTTTGTCAGCTCCGCAGTTTCTACCGCTCCCGAGTTCATAAAACAGGCGCTTAGCCGCAAGTGGGTGGCTCGAACAGGCATCAAGACCTCCGACTTTATGTCCCTAATTACAGCTTTCCAAAGCCATCTTTTTTTTTTTTTTTTTTTTTTTTTTTAGCCTTGCGGCACAAATTAATATTCACACGCAATCCTTGCTCATTTTCTACCTGCCCACCCGATTTTAGCGTTCCGTCACGCTCTCGCGGGCTTGTCGCTAATCGCAATCACTGAGAATATAATTAACCTTTCCGCACACTCGGTGTGAGAGAGACGTCTGTTTTTCCGTTCCAAGTAGCTAACAGGAACATCTGTCATTAGCGCAAACCTCGTTACAAAGAACACTTGTCACTTCTTGCACGGTCACAAGAAGGGGTACATTTGGCAACTTCCAAATTGACTCATCTTTGGCTCGCTCTGGTACAAAGTATTCTCCAAAGCTGTAAAGGGTAGCAGCGGCCATCATGTACTGTATTTTTTTTTTTGGACTACAAAGGCACAGTTATCAATGACGAGGTCTATTTGGGGAAGCGCGCCGGGTTAAAAGGGGGCATGAGTGCACACTAAGGAAACAAGTGTTTGGGTTTGTACATAACCCCAAACGCACGGCAACAGACAAGGATGGCGTAAGCTGAAACTTGGCGTAGTTTATTGGTCTGGCAAAGTCAACTCGGGAGAATTCGAAATGAAAACTTACTTAGCATTCAAGCGAGAGCGCAAAGAGTCCACGGGGAGCGGAAATGTCCACAGAGGACGCGAGAACTGCTCAAGGTGTCTACCAGGGCTTGCTGCAGGGTGGTTCCAACACAAACCTGCACCGAGGACTGATTTTGGGAGCCAACTTAGACCAGCCCAAACAAGCTGATGAGCTACAGGTGGGTGATGAGCTGGCAAGCCTCAGGTGGGAGGTGCAGAGCGCCCTGGCTGAGGAGGCTAAAAAATACAGGCCCACTCTAGATTTTGGAGAAAATACAAGCATTTTATCTGCATCTTAATCGTCTGAAGAACCGCCCCACCCCCAAAAAAAAATTAAAGGCTTGTTTTGATGATGGTCTCTTTAGGCTTAAAAAAAAACAACATAATTCTTTAAAACAACCCAAAACAAGACAACTCCCGCAACACTGCTGCTATTCGCGGGTTCCACCCTGATCGTTTTTGGCCTCGAATTGAGATTGGATGTCGCCCACAGTGGTTTACAGTGATGGGTTTTGAGACAACGGATTGCTTTGAGATGTTCTGTTCATTCTTGTCATGCAAGGTGAAGGTTATCCTGAATGAACGGCCAAAAGAGTGCGAGTGCTAATTCGATGATTTTTTTTTTTTTTTTTAGTTAGCCGTGTAACAAATTAGTCCCGAGAATCAATGGGATTGCTTTGAGATGTTCCGTTCATTCCTGTCGTGCAAGGTGAAGGTTATCCTGAATGACTGGCCAAAAGAGTGCGAGTGCTAATTCGATAAATTTTTTTTTTAAGTTAGCCGTGTAACAAATTAGTCCCGAGAATCAATAATCAAATACGGAGGTAAGTAGGTAGTAGAATCACGAGGCAAGGATATTGAAGTATATAGTTTTTACAACTGTCCTTAAAGCCAAACAATATTTGGCTTTAAGGACAAGATGGCGTGATAAAGCTCGAAAAAGATCATTCAAGTAAACGTGCAGTAGCACAGTCGACAATGTGATGTTGTGAAATCAAACTGTGGCTTGGTGTCAGACTGACTTTGATGTTTGTATGTGTGGGGGGCTGGAGGAGGGGGGGGCGTCTAGTGTAAAATTAGCTGGCACAGACAAGAGAAATCTGGCAAAATTAGCATCCAGTATCTTTGTTTTCGGTCCCCTGTGAGCCCGCAAGATTCTTCAAGTTGTTTTCACATCAAAACACAGACCAAGAAGAAAAAAAGACCATACGCACTCATTGGCAATGGACTCGACTCATTGAGCGATTGGCCATCTTGCTTGTGAACAAAAGGCTGATATGGATCTCGTGAATCCATCATTTTATCACCTCTGACTTTTTCAGAGAGCTCGCGCAGATGTTAGCTTGTTGCGCTAGTCCATTGTCTCTCTCTCTCTCTCACACACACACACACACACACACACACAGGAGGAAACAAACATTCACTGACATAACTGGCTCTGGTGTGAGAGCGTTCCACGTCTGTTATCCGTTTTAATGTGAGTGAGTGAAGAAAGAAAGTGAGCTAGCCTGAGAGTTGGGCCCGCGGCGCACATAAGGCGGCTGTAAACTGACTGTGTCACCGATCAGACTCGAAAAAAGTCTCAAGTATTTTGAAGTACTCTCAAAAGAATGAGTCGTCCACCTCTATCTTGGAGACTGTGGACGGGAGCAAAGCAGAGGGGAATTTTGTCGGGGCGGGGGAGGCGCTGTGCGCGGTTCCCGCTACGTTTGACAGCTTATCACCCCCAGACAAGAGCCCTCGGGATGAATGTGGTCAAGCAGGAGAGGAGGTCGGCTGCTGGCGACGACAGGCGCAGTGGCGTGGGTGCAGCGCGCCGATAAGGATGAAGCTCCACTGGGCAAAATGGGTGGAGGGGGCGGGGGAGCGCAAACGTTTCCAGCTCGGGTTTGGCTAAACCTCTTTAAAAATTTACACACAGGCATTTACCATACTCAGCAAATATGGGTGAAAGCAAGCCACTGTGTGTTTTCTGTCATGTGTGTGTCACGTTCCATAGCCAGCCAGCGAGGACGGCAAGAAAGACGTTAAAACAAAAGACGAGGGGGGGGGGGGGCGGGGTGAGTTGTCGTCTTGATGTGTTGACAGCGTGAAATTTGCTTTCTCAGTTACGGGCGCAATGAATTGATCACACCCTCCTCGCCTTGATGGAGATCTGGCTCTTTTTTTGTGCCTCTGTTTTTTTTTTTTTTTTTTTTTTTTTTCCCCCCTCTTGGGCGCATCTGCCTGCCCAGATACTTGATAATCTGCTGGCTCGCAGTGTTCCTAATCCCAGCAGCTTGGGAGCGTATTTTGGAGTCGCTGCTTGCGTGGATCACATCGCCAAACTCATCTTAATGCTTTCAGTGTAAATAAACATTTCTTTCATTAAAAAAAAAAAAAAAAACTTAGAATATTCTCAAAATATTGTTTTCTCAACAAAAGAAAAGATACTTTTATTTGATTTCACTGTTCTTGTAAAACTATGAATTAATTCTTGTCCAATTCAAATCATTTCAACTTCCTAACATTCAGCCTATTCAGAATTCCCACTCCAAAAATTCCCCAAATGTCCCCCGTTAAAAATCCCCAATTCAGAGACCGCTGACATCGACTTCTCCTCCTTCCGTATTCCTCCATCAATTTCCCCACGTTGCAATGTGTAAGCGCATTTCAACGCAGCTTTTCATCACTCAAATGCAATCTCGACAGAAAAGGCCTTCGCTCGCTATCTGCTATTAAGACGCCCGCACGGTCGCCAAATATTCCAAACACAAAGGAACATCGATGGCCCCCAAAATACAACATTTGCATGTAGAATCCCTCTGAGGTGAAAACATTT